CTGGCGCGGGCTGGCGTGGCGCTGGTTGTGGATGCTGGTGCTGGTGCTGGCGCTGTTGCTGGTGCTGGGTGTGGCGCTGGCGCTGGCGCTGGCGCTGGCGCTGGCGCTGGCGCTGCGTGCTGGCGCTGGCGCTGGCGCTGGCGCTGGTGTTGGTTGTGGTGTGGGTGCCGGTGCCGTGCCGGTGCCGGCGCGCTGGTGTGGTTATAGATGGGGGGGGGACCTGGCGCTGCGGCTGGCGCTGGCGCTGTGCGCTGGCGCTGGCGCTGGTGCTGGTGCTGGCGCTGGCGTGGCGCTGGCGCTGGTGTTGGTTGCTGGCGCTGGCGCTGGCGCTCGGCGTGGCGCTTGGCGCTGGCGCTGGCGCTGGCGCTGGCGCTGTTGCTGGTGATGGTGCTGGCGTGGGCGCTGGCCGCTGGCGCTGGCGCTGCGTGGGCTGGTGCTTGGCGTGGCGCTGGTGCTGGCGCTGGCGCTGGTGCTGGTGTGGTGTGGCTCGCTGGTGCTGGTGTGGTTGCTGGTGCTGGTGCTGCGCTGGTGCTGGTGGCTGGCGCTGGGTGCTGGTGCTGGATGCTGGCCGCTGGTGTGGTGTGGTGTGGTGCGGCGCTGGTGTGCTGGTGTGGTGCTGGTGCTGGTGCTGGCGTGGTGCTGGTGGTGCTGGTGTGGTGCTGGTGGTTGTGGTGCTGGTGGTGTGGGCTGGTGCTGGTGCTGGTGCTGGCGCTGGTGGTGCTGGGTGCTGCGAGCTGTGCTGGTGCTGGTGACTGGTGGATGGCTGGTTACTGGTGCTGGTGCTGGTTGCTGTTGCTGGTGGTCTGTGGTGCTGGTGGTTGCTGGTGCTTGGTGCGGTGCTGGTGCTTGGTGCTGTTGCTGGCGCTTGTGTGGTGTTGTGTGCTGCTGCTGTGTGCTGGCGCTGTGCTGGTTCTGGTTGCTGGTGCTGGCGATGGTGCTTGGTGTGGTGCTGGCGCTGGTGCTGGTGTGGCGTGTGGCTGGTGCTGGTGTGGCGCTGTGCTGGCGCTGGTGCTGGTGCTGGTGCTGGTGCTGGTGCTGGAGTGGTGCTGGCGCTGGGTGCTGGTGCTGGTGGTGGGTGCGGATGGTGCTGGTGTGGTGCTGGTTGCTGGCGCTGGTGCTGGTGCTGGTGCTGGTGCTGGTGCTGGCGCTAGTGCTGGTGCTGGCGCTGGTGCTGGTGCTGGTGCTGGTGCTGGCTCTGGTGCTGGTGCTGGTGCTGGGTGCTGGCGATTGGTTGCTGGTGCTGCGTGCTGGGTGCTGGTGTTTGCTGGCGCTTGGTGCTGGTGCTGGTGGTGGTGCTGGTGCTGGTAGCTGGTGCTGGCGCTGTAACGGCTGGTGCTGGTGGTGGTGCTGGTGCTGGTGCTGGTGCTGGCTGCTGGTGCGGTGCTGGTGATCGTGCTGGCGCTGTGGTGCTGGTGGCTGTGCTGTTGGTGGCGATGGTGTGGTTGCTGGTTTGGGGCTGGTGCTGGCGCTGGTTGTGTTGCTGGTGGTGGTGCTGGCGTGGTGTGTGATGCTGGTGCTGGTGCTGGGTGTGGTGCTGGTGCTGGCGCTGGTGCTGGTGGCTGGTGCTGTGTGCTGGCGCTGAGTGCTGGGTGCTGGTGGTGGTGCTGGGGCTGGTGCTGGCGCTGGTGCTGGTGCTGGCGCTGGTGTGGTGCTGGTGTGGTGCTGGCCCTGGTGTGGTGGGGGTGCTGGCGCTGGTGGCTGGTTTGCTGGTGATGGTGCTGGTTGCTGGGTGCTCTCTGAGGTGCTGGCGTGGTGGTGGTGCTGGTGCTGGTGCTGGCGCTGGTGCTGGAGCTGGCGCTGGCGTGGCGCTGTTCTGTTGCTGGCGCTGGCGCTGGCGCTGGTGCTGGTGCTGGCTTGGTGCTGGGTGTGGCGCTGAGTGAGTGGTGCTGGTGCTGGCGTGGCGCTGGCGCTGGTGGGTGCTGGTGCTGGTGACTGGCGTGTGCTGGTGCTGGCGCTGGCGCTGGCGCTGGCGCTGGCGCTGGTGCTGGCGCTGGTGCTGGCGCTGGCGCTGGTGCTGGCGCTGTTGCTGGCGCTGGTGCTGGCGCTGGCGCTGGCGCTGGTGCTGGCGCTGGCGCTGGCGCTGGTGCTGGTGCTGGCGCTGGTGCTGGTGCTGGCGCTGGTGCTGGTGCTGGTGCTGGTGCTGGCGCTGGTGCTGGCGCTGGTGCTGGTGCTGGCGCTGGTGCTGGTGCTGGTGCTGGCGCTGGTGCTGGTGCTGGTGCTGGTTGCTGGTGTTAGTGCTGGTCTGGTGCTGGCGTGGTGGTGGTGTGGTGCTGGTGCTGGCGCTGGTGCTGGTTGCTGGCGCTGGCGCTGGCGCTGGTGCTCGGTGCTGGCGCGGCGCTGGGCTGGTGCTGGTGCTGGGCTGGTGCTGGTGCGGCGCTGTGCTGGTTGCGGTGTGCTGGCGCTGGCGCTGGCGCTGGTTGTGCTGTTGCTGGTGCTGGCGCTGGTGTGGTTGCTGGGCCTGCTGGCGCTGGCGCTGGGCGCTGGCGCTGGTGCTGGCGCTGTTGTGAGCGCTTGGCGTGGTGTGGCGCTGTTGCTGGCGCTGGTGCTGGGCGCTTGGGGCTGGCGTGGTGAATGGGCTGGCGCTGGCGTGTGCTGGTGCTTGCGCTGGTGCTGGTGCTGGCGCTGAAGTGCTGGTGCATGGTGCTAGGTGCGGCGCTGGTGTGGCGCTGGTGCTGGTGCTGGCGCTGTGCTGGTGTGGTGCTGGCGCTGGTGCTGGATGCTGGTTGCAGGTGGTGGTCTGGTTTTGCTGGTGTGGCGCCTGCTGCTGAGTTGCTGGCGCTGGTGCGCTTGGCCGCTGGCGCTGGTTGTGGTGCTGGTGCTGGCGCTGGTGCTGGGTGGTGCTGGTGCTGGTGCTGGTGCTGGCGCTGGCGCTGGCGCTGGGTGCTGGCGCATGGCGTGGCGCTGGTGTGGTGCTGGCGCTGGGCGCTGGTGCTGGTGCTGGCGCTGGTTGCTGGTGCTGGCGCTGTGTGGTGCTGGTGCTGGGCTGGCGCTGGGTGCTGGTGCTGGTGCTGGAGCTGGTGCTGGTGCTGGTGCTGGCTGGTGTGGTGCTGGGCGCTGGCGCTGGCGCTTGGTGTGGTGCTGGTGCTGGCGCTGGTGCTGGTGCTGGTGCTGGTGCTGGCGTGGTGCTGGATGGCTGGTGGTGTGGTGCTGGTGCTGGGGCTGGTGCTGGTGCTGGTGCTGGTTGCTGGCGCTGGTGCTGGTGCTGGTGTGGGGTTGCTGGTGCTGGTTGCTGGCGCTGGTCGTGGTGTGGTGCTGGTGCGGTGCTGGTGTGGGCTGGTGTTGGTGCTGGTTGCTGGTGCTGGTGCTGGTGCTGGTGCTGGGGCTGGCGCTGGTGCTGGTGCTGGTGAGGTGCTGGTGCTGGTGTGGTGGCTGGTGCTGGTGGTGGTGCTGGGTGCTGGTGCTGGTGTGGTGCTGGTGCAGGTGTTGCTGGTGTGGTTGCTGGCGCTGGGTGCTGGTGCTGGTGCTGGTGCTGGTGCTGGCGCTGGCGCTGGCGCTGGTGCTGGTGCTGGCGCTGGTGCTGGTGCTGGTGCTGGTGCTGGCGCTGGTGCTGGTGCTGGTGGTGGTGCTGGTGCTGGTGCTGGTGCTGGTGCTGGTGCTGGTGCTGGTGCTGGTGCTGGTGCTGGTGCTGGTGCTGGTGCTGGCGCTGGTGCTGGTGCTGGTGCTGGCGCTGCTCTGCTTCTTAAAGATACCCGTCACATTTACAAATCTTGTGTTTCTAGACAAACAGGCTGTACAGTACTCTATTTTACATCCCCCCCCCAAAAAAAAAGCACAATTTTTTACTTATTAAATTATTATATTCATAGTAAATAATAAAAGTTTTAAGGTTACACATTGACTGAGGAATTATTAGATTAATCAAACATAATAAATCTGGAAATAAAGTCTAATATGTTACTTTCACTCTTATCTTTATTAAAAAACATGTTTATACCTGTTATCTGCTGACTCCTGTTATCTGCTGACTGTGTCGACTAAGATAACACCAGCCGCCTGTGACACTACGCTGTTACACACACACTTGACCTCTGCAACCTCAATTAGGTGAGTACACACCGCCAACTGCAAAGTCATGCAGATAGGGGAAGGGCAAAGAAGACCACAGACAGAGTACAGTCTAGGTGGCCAAAGACTACAAACCTTATTCAAGGACAAGGATTTTGGGGTGAGTATAATACCAAGCACATCTCCTGAGGCGCACATTGACTAGATAACTGCTGCAGCATATGGGCGCCTGGCAAACCTGAGAATAGCGTTCCGATACCTCAGTAAGGAGTCGTTCAAGACTCTGTACACCGTGTACGTCAGGCCCATAGTGGAGTATGCAGCACCAGTTTGGAACCCACACTTGGCCAAGCATGTCAAGAAATTTAGAGTAAGTGCAAAGGTTTGCAACAAGACTAGTCCCAGAGCTAAGGGGTATGTCTACGAGGAGAGGTTAAGGGAAATCAACCTGATGTCACTGGGGGACAGGAGGGACATATTAACATATAAAATACTGCGAGGAACGGACAAGGTGGACAAAGACAGGATGTTCCTGAGATGGGACACAGAAACAAGGTGCCACAATTGGAAGCTGAAGACTCAGAAGAGTCACGTAGATGTTAGGAAGTATTTCTTCAGTCATAGAGTTGTCAGGAAGTGGAATAATCTTAAGAGTGATGTAGTGGAGGCAGGATCCATACATAGTTTTAAAAGAGATATGATAAATCTCACGGAGCAGGGAGAGAGAGGACCTAGGAACGACCAGTGAAGAGGTGAGGCCAGGAGCTATGATTCGACCCCTGGAACCACAATTAGGTAAGTATACACACTCGGGTACATTCAAGAAAATCACAGTAAGACACACAAGATCTTAAGTGCTTTCACTCACACACAGCTTCGATGTCCCAGGTACACGAAACACAGGACATTGTTACTCTTTATCGCCGTTGTTATTCTGTACATTTGATATTACCTATTTTTGCATTTTTTCCCTATGTATATAGTTTACAACTGACCTTTCTTGACCTCATCGTCATGGGTGGTGATGTCATAGTGGGTGTCGACCTTGACTGGACTCGGGTAGATAGGAGGGTCATAGAGGCTGGTGGCAGCAGACTCACCCAGGGTCCCTAGCACATACTCGCATAACACATACACAAAGAGGGCCCAGGAGCAGGGTCTCAACCCTCTTAAACACAACTCTGCTAGTACTCCCACCTGTAAAGAAAGAATATTTTTTTTATATTTTTATTTAGAATGACAAGTACATATACAGAGTACATACAGTTATTAACATGGTACATCAATAAGGTACAGAGATAAACAGTAATTTACTTAAGGAGAGTACCGTACTCAAACACCTTCAAAAATTTTTTTACGATAAGGTATCTCGTATTTCCAATACCAATACCCTATTCAACCCTAATACAAAGTAACATAGCATGGTATTATCCATAATACCCCTTAAACTAAGCCTCCCCCCTGTCCCCTGGCAACCCCACCCCTTTATCTGAGTTAAAAGAAAGGAAGACTACGGAAAGTGTACACAGAAACTATTCTTTAACCTAAAAGCAAATATATACAATTCAGTCCAAATATATCATTAACTTACAAAGGACTTAACATATAAAACTCAAATTACACCAAAGGTCCTAAAACATAACCCAAAGCTACAGTATACTATTTGCATATGTCTTACAGCATTTGCATATGAGAATACATTACATCAGTATGTACCGTCGTTTACATGAAAACACGTCCACATCACTCAAAAATTTTTTTTTGGAAAGAATAGTTTGCTGAGATTTATTTATGTCGTTGAATGTACAGGATAATACCTGGAAGCACTTGACTTGTACTCGCTGGAACTCAGGCGAGAGAGATATATCATAATCTACACTTGGGAAATTCTAGAAGGAATGGTCCCGAACCTGCACACACAAATCACTCCCTACGAAAGTAAAAGACAGGGCAGGCGATGCAAAATATTCCCAGTGTAAAGTAGGGGCACCATTGGTACACTAAGAGAAAACACCATAAGTGTCCGGGGCCCAAGACTATTCAACAGCCTCCCACCAAGCTTAAGGGGAATTACAAATAGACCCCTGGCTGCCTTCAAGAGAATGCTGGAGTGCCGGATCAGCCGGGCTGTGGTTCGTACGTTGGGCTACATGCGGCCAGCAGTAACGGTCTGGTTGATCAGGTCCTGATCCACCGGGAAGCCTGGTCGTGGACCGGGCCGCGGGGGCGTTGTTGCTAGGTAAAGGACACAAGTGCAACTAATGTGAAATTTTATTGTGGCAATATTAAACTTGAAAAAATACTTGAACTAGTTGGTTAATGGGGTTTAAATCCTATCTACTACACGAGGGGTCATTATGGGTGCATAAAAACTATACCCCAAAGATGATTTAATACTGAAAAAAAAGTTTTAGAAAAAGTTCGGGCCATCCCACGGGTGGGGTCTGCCCCGCGGTCGAAAGCTCAAAACCCCAGATCTTGACCGGGGGTTCAAACCCCCCCGTGGTAGGTTTGTTAAAATGTAATCATTACGTTTCTCGGTTATTAATAGACTACCCCGTGTGTGTGTATACCACAGTGTGAAACCCCTAAAAAGGGACACTGTAGAATCGTACCCCCCCAGATCCCTTTTGCATGTTTTACCACTAAGTACATAATGCACTTTTTTGTTTTATTCAAAAGCTTAAAGTTTAAAGGGAAAGAGGTAATTTCCAGCAAATATGTGGGAAAAAAGGCAATAGCTGGTGTAGGGGTTTTTCAGTATTGTAATTTTTAAAATTTAATGGCGGTCTATTTTTTTTGTGAGAGTGGTAGGGAGGGGGCATCGGGGGGAGTGACTTGGGCCCTACCGTGATAAGCCCCTTATTCGTTTTAAAATGAATATATAAACATTTTCCCCTCCCCATTGTTTCGCTTAATAGCCCCACATAAACTTGAAAACGTCTTCCATCCCAAAACCCCAGTACAGCATCTAGGAACCCCCCTTTTATATATGAAGCTAAAAAATAAAAAAGGGAATAGCCTCGTGGATATAATAGATGTAATGAAAATATTTTTATCAAAAAAATGTCACATTGTTACTTTGTTATACAGTATTTCTTGATTTGATGGGGAAAAAAAATTTTATCTTGGCAGTGTATATATGTTGACAGTAAAAAAAAAGCAGCGCTTTTATTATTTTGCAGTAACAGCCGGTTGATCAGACCCTGATCCCCATGAGGCCTGGTCTCAGACCGGGCCGCGGGGGCGTTGACCCCAAAAAACCCTCCCGGGAAAACCCCGGTAAACCCCGATATCCATCAAGTGGGAATGTCTTGTGATGTTTGGCTCAGTGTTGAAAAGAACAATGAGGAAAATGTAAGAAGAAATAAAAAATAATTGTTAGTTTTACCCTAGTTTTTTTTGGGCCCATTGTGTCACACTTTTTGCTTTTCCTTTGACACCCTCGTCCCGTTTGCATTTTTGTGTTTGGGTTTAAGTGATGTCACGATGGGGGCCGTTAGAATGTTTTTTTAAGACTGTCACTTTCTTCATACCCCGATACATTAAGTAAATCTCCTAAATTTCCTTGTAATAGTAAGTGAAAGTAGATATAAATCCCCGATGTACTCTTTTAACCCCTTTTTTGGGCTAGTTCCTAGGCTTTTTGTGTATCTATGTTCTTGACTATATACGGTGGATTTATGTGCATGTACCAATAAACTAGCAATACATCCCCAAGTGGATAGGTACAAATAAACTAGCCACTGATCCACAGGATGGGTATGGGTAAAAAATTACAATCCAAGGTGGATTGAGGTAACAATAAACTAACCCCAACCCTCCACAGGATGGGTATGAGGTACACAAACTAGCCCCTACCATCCACAGGATGGATATGAGTACACAATAACTAGCCACTATCATCCACAGGATGGTTTATGATGTACACAATAAAACTAGCCACTACCATCCACAGGATGGATATGAGGTACACAAACTAGCCACTACCATCCACAGGATGGATATGAGGTACACAAACTAGCCACTACCATCCACAGGATGGATATGAGGTACACAATAAACAAAGCCACTACCATCCACAGGATGGATATGAGGTACACATAAACTAGCCACTACCATCCACAGGATGGATATGAGGTACACAAAAACTAGCCACTACCATCCACAGGATGGATATGAGGTACACAAAACTAGCCACTATCATCCACAGGATGGATATGAGGTACAAAATAACTAGCCACTACCATCCACAGGATGGATATGAGGTACACAAACTAGCCACTACCATCCACAGGATGGATATGAGGTACACAAACTAGCCACTATCATCCACAGGATGGATATGAGGTGCACAAACTAGCCACTACCATCCACAGGATGGATATGAGGTACACAAACTAGCCACTACATCCACAGGATGGATATGAGGTACCAGTAAACTAGCCACTACCATCCACAGGATGGATATGAGGTGACACAACTAGCCACTACCATCCACAGGATGGATATGAGGTACACAATAAACTAGCCACTACCATCCACAGGATGGATATGAGGTACACAAACTAGCCACTACCATCCACAGGATGGATATGAGGTACACAAACTAGCCACTACCATCCACAGGATGGATATGAGGTACACAAACTAGCCACTACCATCCACAGGATGGATATGAGGTACACAAACTAGCCACTACCATCCACAGGATGGATATGAGGTACACAAACTAGCCACTACCATCCACAGGATGGATATGAGGTACACAAACTAGCCACTACCATCCACAGGATGGATATGAGGTACACAAACTAGCCACTACCATCCACAGGATGGATATGAGGTACACAAACTAGCCACTACCATCCACAGGATGGATTATGAGGTACACAAACTAGCCACTACCATCCACAGGATGGATATGAGGTACACAAACTAGCCACTACCATCCACAGGATGGATATGAGGTACACAAACTAGCCACTACCATCCACAGGATGGATATGAGGTACCCCAAACTAGCCACTACCATCCACAGGATGGATATGAGGTACACAAACTAGCCACTACCATCCACAGGATGGATATGAGGTACACAAACTAGCCACTACCATCCACAGGATGGATATGAGGTACACAAACTAGCCACTACCATCCACAGGATGGATATGAGGTACACAAACTAGCCACTACCATCCACAGGATGGATATGAGGTACACAAACTAGCCACTACCATCCACAGGATGGATATGAGGTACACAAACTAGCCACTACCATCCACAGGATGGATATGAGGTACACAAACTAGCCACTACCATCCACAGGATGGATATGAGGTACACAAACTAGCCACTACCATCCACAGGATGGATATGAGGTACACAAACTAGCCACTACCATCCACAGGATGGATATGAGGTACACAAACTAGCCACTACCATCCACAGGATGGATATGAGGTACACAAACTAGCCACTACCATCCACAGGATGGATATGAGGTACACAAACTAGCCACTACCATCCACAGGATGGATATGAGGTACACAAACTAGCCACTACCATCCACAGGATGGATATGAGGTACACAAACTAGCCACTACCATCCACAGGATGGATATGAGGTACACAAACTAGCCACTACCATCCACAGGATGGATATGAGGTACACAAACTAGCCACTACCATCCACAGGATGGATATGAGGTACACAAACTAGCCACTACCATCCACAGGATGGATATGAGGTACACAAACTAGCCACTACCATCCACAGGATGGATATGAGGTACACAATAAACTAGCCACTACCATCCACAGGATGGATATGAGGTACACAAACTAGCCACTTCGGTGGAAAAATTTAATCTTGTTTAACCAACATCTTGGAAAGACTTACATTGTTCGTGTTTATATATTGTTCCGACTTAATGGTTGCAATAAGAACACTGTCAAATCTTTCACTATTTTCTGCCTTATATGTAGTGGGAAGGTCCCTCCTCTCAAACTAATTTCAATTGTGTATCGAATTTTGATGGTGTTTGAAGAGGTTCTTGCGCTGTCATGTCCAAAGCAGTGGAACTGATGTTATGTATAGTTTCTGAAGCCTGGAAATGAATGCTGTTTTCATTTATATCTGTTCTGTAGTTGTGTTAGTTATGCACTAGCCTTGACCTGACTATTGGTGCGTCTAGAAATCTAGATGTAGTTTGTGACCACTAACTTAACAGCAATTGATGACTCAGTTCCTGGACTTACTCAGTCCCTAGACCAGCCACAGGATGGGTACATGATGTATAATAATGCTATTAAACTAAAGCAAGATTATTAACCCAGAGGGTTAGTAACTCAGGATAACCCAACAAAGCTAGTCTGGCTAATTTCCAGGGTAGTCCAATCCTCTACCCCAACATGCGACGCACACCAGTCGACTAATACCCAAGTACCTACTTACTGCTAGGTGAACAGTGACAGCAGACCTCTCCTGTCTCTTTTTACATGTGTGTATGCGCCAGCGGATAGCGATGTGCGATATAGTTTTTTCCTAGGTCACTGCCCACCCTATCTTTTGTGGCGGGGACTGGAATTGTGTGGTTAGGAGAAAGGATGTGATCCCACGTGGGATGGGGCATTATTCGCCGGTGTTGAATTAATTGTTACTTGATGTGCAATTGTGGGATGCTTGTTGCGTGAATGAGACAGTACCGGCCCATACGTTTGTCAGGAGGGATTATGGGGCACGACTAGACGGAATTTGTTACATCCACTAGTACGGTACTTTCGAGTAATATCCTAACAGCTGCCTTTTTTGATCAGGCAGTTCTCACGGGGGTGGGGTGGGATACTTTGGCTATAAGGCACACAAGGGTTACTGGAAATTAAATACAAGGGTTTTTAATGGAAGAGAAAGCTGTTGTGGGTTTTGAAGAATGGTGGGAGGTAAACAGATATGGGAGGTTTGTTGGTGGGATAATTGTGGGATACGTAGATGACACGACGTTATTAGTGAACGAGCACACGAACTTCTAGCACTGGAAGGGATCGTTGGAAGGTTTGGGAAGGCGTCAGGTATGGAAATGGGTCTAGGTGAGAGGACACGCCGTAGGGATTGAGGATGCTCATTAATGACGAATGTGGAGAGATCATTAAAGATCTGTGAGATTGTGTATGTAGTGATAGATAAGAGGTGAGGATGGCAAATTCGTAGAGAGTTGAGAATAGCATTGTTAATCGATTACAAGGACTCCGACCTTATCATTTAACACTCGTGCAGAGGGTCATTACTGTAAATGCCCTCCTGCACAGTAAGGCATGTTATGTAACAACCGTGTAGCCTTCAATTACAGTGGTGATACGACGGATTCAGGGTAGGATTTTTAGGTTCTTGTGGCCTTCAAAGTGTGAATGGTCGAGGAGGGAAGTCATCGCGTTGCCAGTGAGAAGAGGGAGGTTGAGGTTATTTGATCTTCACAAACGTATATTGTGCATTTATGTTAAAAGGGCAGTGTTGCATGCAGGGCAGTTCAAGGAGGGATGTCTTGAGCGAGTGTATGCTGTGTTACTTACGACTTTAAGAGGGATAGATTTTCGAGATTGCGGCTGTTGAGGATGATGTCGGTGAGGGAGCCGGGACAAATTGATATTAGGGTTTTGTATAACATGTTGACGGGAGATACAAGGGCTGTAGTTTCATTATATCCTATGTATGATTGGGGGAAGAATTTGGAGTATGTTTGCGAAATTACGCATCCCTCCGACGTAACGGGGGGTTACGTATGAGTTTTTACATGGAGTTCTATCGGCTAGAGTGTATTCGTATCGGAAGGTGGTGGAGGATGGAGTCTGTAGAGTTTATGGGGTTGATGAGATGCATTTCACATAGGGTGGAGTCGTAGGTTTTATGAGGGATTGTGGCGATGTCTCGCTCGTGTGTTAATTTTAGTGACAGTAGGAATGTTTCAGTATTGAGGGCGTTGACTTGGGACATGAGTGGTGTTATTGATGCAGCAGCGAGAGCTGTTGTTGTTGATTATACTTATATCATGTGGGAATTTTGTGAGGAAGGAGGGGGATATGGAAGTGCGATATCGTATCCAGGCGGCCAAGGTTTATAGAACAATGTGTAGGAATAAACTGTTGTATGGCAGTACGCTAGGGAAGAGTTTTACTAGGGGCTATTTGAGTATTAGTGTAAGGGGGGTTGTTAGCGTTATTACTGTGGTGGAGCCCAGGCCTGGTGGGTACTGGGCTCCTGTTGGGTTGGGGAAATGGGGTATTGGGGTTTGGTCAGGGTCCTGAGGCACTGGAGTTAGGGGGGGGGGTCTACATGTGTATGGGATGTATCACATTGTAGTATCGAAAGTTGGTTGGCAGAACATGTGACCGCCATGAAGTTAGGTTTAAACTGGGTGGTATTGTGTATTAGTACACCTGGGTGTGCTGATGAGTGTATTCATGAGTTGATATAGGGAAGAGTATAAGAAATGTACATATGTGAATATGTATATGTGGTGAAGTTATTACGGATATAGTTAATCTCTGGCAGACGTAAATTGTCCTGCAGAGATGTATATGTTTGGGGAGACAATATATAAACTTCTCTTATTGGTATGTTCATGTATGTAGTGTTTTTAAGGTGTTAATATACTACAATGTTTGTAAGTGCTTATTACTTAAGTTACAAACGTATTATGATACGTAACTGGATTAACGTTTAATTACTGGTTTGGTTGCTAAGGATGGTGACAGAAGACACACTTATACGTTGTGTGGGGGGGGAGGGGGTCCCAGTGTGTACTGTTTAATGTTAGTTTCAGTAATATAAACATTGTTCATTCTGAAGCAGAGGGTACTCAGAGGTAGGTTGTGGATTGTGTTGTTTGGAAGGAATACCACCATTATGAATGGACTGGAGTCGTGCCAGTAGAGATTTTTGTTCCATGTAACCATACATATCGACCTATGTAAGTATTTTATACATAATTTTAAATGAACAATGTACCATCGTCACAATACTGTGATATTCTGAACTATATTCAAGTAGCACTACGTTTACCTACATCTTGTATAATATATTACCTGGACTATTGTTTATATATTATATTACAGATGTTTTCATGATACGTTCATTATATATGTAAGTGAACGAGTGTTTGATACTGTCTACAACTACGTGATAGTGGACAGTTTTCACTTGTGTGGGGGGGGGACGAATGTAAACAAACTGTGTTTGTGCCATTTTATAAAAACCTTTGTACTTATGTACCATTGTATTTAGAAGCAGTGTGTAGGTTGTGTTAGGTTAGTTTGTGTCATCATATATGTTGTAGTTACTCTGAGTATCGTTGTTACATATTAATGTATGTATTTACCTGTGTCTAATATTTGTATATGAAGTTTTGAATACATATAAAAAACATTTAACAGATAATAATATTCACGAACAGCTTTAACCATGATTACTACATAACACTGAACCCGCATGAATTATGGAGGGTTGCTGACCATGATGAAGAGTGTTGTGTATGCACTAGTCCGGATCTTGTACAAGACAGGTATCTCCTGTGGTGGTGGTTCGTGTGTTCTCTGCTGTTGCTCGCCCACTACTGCCGTGGTGAAGCCTCAGAGGTTTCCCTAAACCCTTACTCAGCGTGTATAAGAACCCCGATGACGGGATGCACTTTTTTTTGGTTAATATATTCACTAAGAGATTGACTTTTGTTTAGTCACGCTTGGGCGCCATCTTGCCGGGCGCCGCCCACTATTGTTCACATCAAGTGGGTAGCAAATTCGGATTTTTAATATTTTAATCAGGGGGAAGTGCTAAACTCTGAGGAGTCATGTAGCCCAAGAAGGATAGGAGGCATTCAGGTTAGACTCGTAGGGGAATAAAAGTCCAGTTCCTTGGATCAAGAGCCCTTTACCGGCATCAAGGCGGAAGAGGGAAGGAATAATGGAGAAAATGTCACTGGGGACTTGCATCCTCTGCTTTTGTCAAGCACAAGGCAAAAAAATAAGTCTTTTTAAGTGTAAAACTTCCTGGTTGATGCTACCCGAAAGTTGAAGTTAAAATCTTAAGAGGCAGGTAAGTTCCTCAGTCTTCTAATAACATGTTCATTTTTCCACTATAATCTACCTTGTCCATAATTATTATCACATTTGTTTTGTCTGTTTCGTAAGGTGAAGTCCAGGATCTTTCCTTAATTCACGGTATAACTTAACAAATCTTTGAGGACAATTGTTGTTGTAGAGGTCTGTGCTCAGACCTCTACAACACAGTTCAATTCAATTCAATTCAAAGTTTATTCTCTATAAGGATTACAATGCTGAGTTTACAGAATTTGGTTATTGTGTGGTTTACATGTAGTAAAATAATAATTACAGAGTGTACCACTAGAACACCTAGCATGGCTAGGCATTTCGGGCAGACTTAGTTTAATTCTTAATTTTAAAATATTACAAATTATGAGGTAAGTTCGTATTATGGCTAAGTGACTAAATACTAGTTTGTGAGTTTAGCAATGTGAATGCTTTTGTTTTGGCACAGTACATAGTTTCAGTATTGGAGTATCATAGGATTCATTATTTTAAGATTGAGATTAATATTTCTGTTTATGGTCAAATGGGTGAGTGAGTGTAAGTGTGAACCACCAGGTGGTATTCGTGTAGTTAGTTGACGGGGTGTATCAGGGAGATAAGATGTTTTCTAATGGTAGTTTTAAAGGTGATGAATGTGTCTGCAGTTCTAGAGTTCTCAGGTAGGGTGTTCCAGATTTTAGGGCCTTTGACATACATTGAATTTTTGTAAAGGTTTAGTCGGACACGGGGAATGTCGTAGAGATGTTTGTGTCTGGTGTTATGCCTGTGGGTTCTGTCACAACTATCAAGAAAGCGTTTTAGGTCAAGGTTGATATTAGAGTTTAAGGCCCTGTAGATGTAGATTGCACAGTAGTAAGTGTGGATGTACTGAACAGGGAGTAAGTTTAGATCTATGAAGAGTGGGGGAGTGTGTTGCCAGGGATGGGATTTAGTGATTATTCTTACTGCAGCTTTTTGGTGGGTTATTGTTGGCTTTAGGTGTGTTGTTGCAGTTGATCCCCAAGCACAAATAGCATAGGTGAGGTATGGATAAATAAGTGAGTGGTATAGTGTGAGAAGGGCATTTTGCGGCACGTAGTATCGTATCTTGGAGAGGATCCCAACCGTTTTGGATATTTTTTTGGTTATATGTTGGATATGGGTGCTGAAATTCAAGTTGTTGTCAAGGTATAGGCCTAGGAATTTGCCCTCATTATGTCTGGTAATTAGAGTGTTGTCAATCTTAATGTTAATTTGTGCATCTCCTGCTCTGCTACCAAACATAATATAGTAGGTTTTGTAAGTGTTAAGCGTAAGTTTATTGGCTGTCATCCAAGTCGATATTTTGATCAGCTCCTCGTTAACAATGGTGCTGAGGGTAGCAAGATTAGGGTGAGAGATGACATAAGTCGTGTCGTCAGCAAAGAGAATGGGTTTCAGGTGTTGGGATATGTTTGGAAGATCATTGATGTATATGAGAAAGAGCAGGGGACCAAGGACACTTCCCTGCGGAACACCAGAATCAAGTGGCCGTGTTGTTGATGCTGTCTTAATGGTGACCTGCTGATACCTATTAGTAAGGTAAGATTTGAAATAAGCAAGCGCATGGCCTCTTATACCGTAATGGTCAAGTTTGTGGAATAGGATGTCGTGGTCTACTGTGTCGAAAGCTTTTCTTAGGTCAATAAAAATCCCTAGTGGATATTCCTTATTTTCCAATGCTGTGTAAAGCAGATCTAGCATTTTTATGATTGCATCATTAGTGCTTTTATTTTTCCTGAATCCAAATTGGCAGGGGTTGAGTATGTTTTGTGCCTTTATAAATGAATATAGTCTCCTGTGCACGAGTTTCTCAAAGATTTTGGATAGCAATGGTAAGTTTGATATTGGCCTATAGTTGTTTAAGTCTGTAGGGTCACCACCTTTATGTATTGGTGTAACCCTTGCCATCTTTAGTAGTTTCGGGAAGGTGCTAGTTTCTAGTGACTTGTTAAAAAGTAATGAAATAGCATGCGAAAGGACATGGGCCGCTCGCTTGTACAGTAATGGTGGGACATGAAACAGATTCCCTGAGTTATTTTTAAGTGACTTTATAATCTCGGTGACTTCCGTGGGCTCAGTTGGTGCAAGATAGAAGGAATTTGGGAAATTCCCATCTAGGTAGTCCCCGGCATGGGCATTGGTATGTGGGATTTTAATGGCGAGATTAGATCCTATGGTTGAGAAGAAGTCGTTTATGCTGTACATTCTACAAGATTGATGGACTGAACACATCGACTCCAGGCTGAGGGACTGATTACCTCATACTCCTCCTCTCCTTACGCCTTCCTCTTTGTATTGGACTGATGAAGCCACTGTGTGGCGAAACGTTTCCTGAATAAAGATTCCCATATGCTGCATAAGTGACTCAATCTTCATCTTGTTAGCTGTGTCAGTGGGATGTAGTGGTGTTTCATTAGGTTTAGTTAGGACAATATTCTTGTTTTTTTTCAGTTTGTGGGTCCCTAGAATCTGAGAGAGTGTTTTCCAGGTCTTTTTTATATCTCCTCTAGTGTCTGTGAATCTACTGGAGTAGTATAGTTGTTTGGCTTTCTTTATTACTTTGGTGAGGACTGATGAATAGTGTTTAAGAATATCTTTGTGTATTAAGCCCTGTCTATATTGCTTTTCATATTTGTGTTTCTTGTCAATGGATTTCAGAATGGTGCTGGTTAGCCATGGGCAAGCAAGCCGTTTGTTTGTGATCTGTTTCGTTTTTATAGGACAATGTTTGTTGCATAGTCTAAGTAATTTGTTAAGAAAAATGTCTGTCCAGTCATCAATACCATTGGCCTTGGAGAATTCTGTAGGCCAGTCAACAGTCTCTAGGTCAACTGTGAACTTCCTTATTGAGGCCTTGTCATGGAGTCTAAATGAGACTTTGTTGTATTCAAGTGGTGGTTTACTAATGTTTGTCAGGAGGAAGGTAGGGTAGTGGTCTGTAGTGCTGTCTGTGATTATCCCTGATTTAAGGGGGGCTAGTATATTGGTCCATATGTGGTCTATTATGGTTGCACTTGTCTCAGTGAGCCTGGTTGGGTTTTAGTTATTGTTGGTATGAGAAGTGTGTTGTTCATATTGTTGATGAAATCAGTATAGGCTGATCATCTGGTAGGCCAAGGTTGATGTTGAAGTCTCCAGCTAAGAGAAGGTGGTGCTTATTCATTTGTCTGTTTGTTATTAGAGACTTTAATTTCTCACTGAAATTTGGGATGTTTGTGTGAGGTATCCGGTAAATGGCACCGATTGTTATAGGTGTCTTAAGTTTTTTTACAGTAAAATTAGCAAAAAGGTATTCCCCATATTCATCACTAAAGTTATCATCGAAACTCTGTTCTTGTAACTCTGTTCACAGAGCGTTGTTCAGACGTAGTGATTTTTGACGTTTTACTGAGGTTGTGTGTCGTACTGACGCTCCAAGTCAAGCCAGACCCCAAGCTAAAGCATCTGACCTATTTTGTGTGAGATCTGCACACTGTCGTAGAGGTTTGTTATGCTGAACTTAAATCGATTAAGGGCAATTTTATGACTTTCGTGGAGGATCTGCTGATGGTTCTCAGTTAGGGTCGTTGTCTCCTTGTTCCTGACACTGTGTTGCGGCTTGTTACATTATTGCTGTGGCGATGGCTCGCACTTGTTCAACAGGTATTTTGATTGCTTTGTTGGTGAGAATAAGATCTTTGAGAACGTTTAGTCAGTTCATTAAATCTAAGTCGGAGTCTTACTAATCATAACTGCATTATTCGTCAGTCAGTGACGCAGCACACATTGCTTGCAGTGCACTAGCAACTAATAATATAATACTAATAATAATAATAAAATACAAGATAAATTTATATTACTCCATAAAAGGTATACATCCATAGCTCTTCAATGACTATACTATATAGAAATCCTGAATTTATGCTGAGCATTTCCCGCAATTGGGTCAATTTTGTCCCAGGATGCGACCTACCATGACTCTAACACCCAGGTACCCTTTTAAAACTGATGGGTGAACAGGCAAGTAAGAGTGTCTTTGGATACAGTCCAATTTGCATACCGAACCGAGGAGATTGGGAACCCCGCCCTCAGTGGTTGATCTGAGTGCTTCAGCGATCGAACCTACAGACTCCTAAATGTTGACGATGAAGTGTTTTTTTTTCATGTAGTGTTGAGCAGACACTGTTGCTAGGATCATGTGGCAGCAACAACCTTTCAACATTTTTACAATGTGAGGAAACACACGTACCAAGATAGTGTGATATACCGCCCTCACAGTAAACTATTCATTTTTCTTTAATATACAATATTTTGTTAATTACATGAATAATTTGGTTAATAATTATCCCTTCTAGGGGCAAGTTTAGACTAAATGCGAATTTGAAAGTGGATTTCGTAGAGTGGATGAGCCTCTTGTAGTCAATAGTGCATTAAATGCGTTCTAAGGTTGACCTACGTTACCGCTAAGTGCAATTGCAGATATGCGAAGGCCGACTAAACTCGTCCTGGCCCGTAAGGTATAACAATTTATAATGTGCAAGGTTGCAATGTATAAAAA